GAAGGTTCCGCCATGCTCGCGGAAAGGTCTGTCCATTACTTTTACTTTCTCCTTCCCTGCAAACACCCGAGAAAGCTCGGACCGTATTCATTTTCGGGTCGAAACCTTGCAGGTTGGGATCGGGGAATGGCGAGGAGGTATCGACGAAGACGAAGGGGATGTTCACGTGCGCGATATGCCAGGTGGACTTGGCCCCGAGCGAGGGGATATCGGTTCACGCTGGTTCGATATTCTCGACGAGCTTGAAGCCATGGCAGGGGCCGTTCCTCTGTGGTGACTGCAGGAACAAGAAGGACGCCATGGAAGGCAAACGCCCGAGTGGCGTCAAAGTCTTGTAGAACAAACATCTTCTTCTGTTCGTTCCATTACGGAAATTCCTTTCTTCTTTGGTTCTTTTGTTTTTTCTGGGGAGAGGGGGGGGGGGTCAGATTTTAGGTGCGGAATCTCTCGGACCTTTTGGTGTTTATGATACGGCACCGTATTGATGTGCATAATGAAAATGTATTACGCCGCGTGACGTTAAGTGACGTCAGCCTCTCAACTCGTCTGAAGCGGGTGGGCCCCATCTCTTTGTGGATCTGAAATTGGGCTTTATGGGTCCACACGTGAAAAGCCTAATAAAATATTATTCATTCAATATTAAACCAAATTTCGGTATTATTGTATTTTACGTTTTTCATTTACGTGTGGAACTTGTATAATAGGGATGCCCGAAATTACCAGATGGGTATTGCCTTTCATATTTGGGCCTTTAATGGGCTATTCAGTCATCTGAGATTCACGTGATGTAATTCTTTTTTTTTCTCTGTAAAAACTAATACGAAATACATGAATTTAATTAAAAAAAGTTTAAAGAAAAAAAAGAAATAAAAAATTATCCACGTGTGCTTACTCGATGTGAGACAGAAAATGTGTACAAATCAGAGAACAACAAGGACACTATGGCTTCTGCAACGTTACCACTTGTTTGATTGTTCGATGATTATTTCATTAAAAGAATGATTAGTCTTTTGAAGGATGTATGTTGTTTGCGCATGTTCCACGTGTCCCACTTTGATTAGTTTGCGTTGCAACCTAAAGCATATATGACTAAATCATTAAGTCCATCCAACATCTACTTACACGTATATGTGTGTGTGTATATATATATAATTAATTATATGCAAATATGCATATGTATATATGCACAAAAATGTTAGAGAAAATCAGGAAAGACTTAGGAAATAAATTAAGTTGCATGATTGAATGTCATCGCTTGGAATTCATGAGGGTGCTTTAGTGAGTCACACCTACATTGTGCTTGGATTGCCTAAGAACTAATTAATGCTTAAAAACATATCTATTAAAGGAGATTTGGACTTGAAAATCGATGTCACACTTTTGTGGATCTCTCTCTCTCTCTCTCGTGATCTTTCCTGATGTGCGGGTTACAGTTAATTTAATAAAATTTGTGATTAGAAAGCTAATGCATTTTTAATTATAATCAACCTTTTTTATTTGCATTGATTAACATATCACATTGACCCCATTGGTTGAATTAATCTCACCATTTTGGTGGGCCAAAACTGCGATTTTGGAGATCTTAAAATGATAAAATTAGACATCATTTTATAATTTCAAAGTGAGATGGAACATAAAATAATTAAAAATATGATTAGTCCCTCGGTCCACTTTAATGTCTAAATGCCATCATGAAAATAGACAGCTGCTGGCAGTTTCATTTGTCAAATTGGAAGAAAAAAGAAAAGGAGAGAAAGATTTTCAAGGAAACCATTTTTGTATTTAGTCACAGAGTTATTATGATTAATTAACAAGTGTATTCAAATTACTACATATATTATTGATAGAGTCTATATAATTTTGGTACGTCCGTATCTTAATATTTTATTACAAATTGCAGCTGAAAACATGCTCGAGAAAATTAGAATCCCCACAGACTTTGACCATTGTTTGTAAAAGAAAGAAAGAGATAGTGACTTTTGGCCAAACGCCTGCTCAAATATATTTTAATCTGTGAAAAGATTGATGTTTTTGTCTCAAATACTTTAATTATATTCAGTAAATCTTACAAATTTTATTGCTAAATTATCCATTTTAAATCATTCTTGGTCTAATAGTATAATAATTGGTTTTTTTCTATAATTATTCAATATTCGATATTTTTTGGTAATGGTAGATGTATTAATAATTAAAAAAAATGTTGTTTTTACAGCCTGACATATTGCTGAAACTGACCTATATAGAAATTGGATTCCATATAAATGAACAAAATACAGATATTATAATAATGAATATTTATTAATTAGCAATGCTGCGTTAAACAAAGTGTTCATGGTGGTGATTGGTTAGCCATAGTTTTTCCCATTAGGGTTAACCGGTTTTGGTAACTATCTAAGGGAATAACAGTCCGTTTGATTTTTAGATATTATCGGATAAAGTGTTACCGTTATGATACAGAGATGACGGATTCACGGGTTCGAGTTTTGTAAACATTCTCTTGCATAAATATTTTGTAAAGTAATGTATTAGGATGTAGCTACGGTTAAACGTTAGTTTGGTTTAGATTGATTTAATTTAGTTAGGGTTTATAGATTTTCTATTTTTCTCTTGTGTATTCTTATATCACCGAAGATTAAAAAAAACATTTCCAGAAAATTCTCTCTTGTTTTGAAATATCAAAATAATGTGGGTCTACAATACACTTTTTCTACGTACTAGTTAGTAAGATTCGGATTATATATATATATATATATATATATATATATATGTGTGTGTGTGTGAACCCTAACGTCAATCATGCAAATGACACAGTCGTCATCGGCACGTAATTTGTGGGGCCTATGGAGCCCAGCCACCACGTCCCACAACCCACAATTAATTCCGTCTGGGCATAGCCAAACTTGTTATAATGGTTTGGTCTACATATTGGTTGTTTTGTCTGTCCCACTTTAGATTTCAGATTAGGAACTTTTTCGCTTTCACCAAAATTTCCTTTCTCCACATTCAGTTCCAAATCAAGATTTGGAAACTATGATAATAAATAATAATAATGTTATTCTATAGTTGTACCGCCATTATTTTTTCTCTTTTTTCCTGTTGGCATGGCATGACATGGTCTGGTTCAAAAAATCAATACCACGGATGGCTTTTCTCGTTTGGCAGACAATCCAAGGACGGCTGCCTACGGCGGATTGCTTGGCGGCTTGGGGAATGCAGATTCGTCGACAATGGATTGATGATCCTGGCCATGCTAAGGACAGAGGTCAGCTTGTCATAGCAAATCTTCTCATACAAGTGGTGACATACGAACTATGGAGAGAGCGAAACAATAGGATATTCATGGGAAAAACACGGTCTATGCAGGAAGTCCAACGGGAAATTGATCGCACAATGCGAGACGCGCTCTTAGCCTCGAAGGTAATGCATCAAGGCGACACCCAATGTCGTTTGCTTGAACATTGTCACCACCGAACTTCAATCCACCGAGACAATCGCCACTTTTGATAGTTTTGAGTGTTGTTTTGGAAAGTAAAATACCACAAATTCATGGGAATTGTTACCTTTTGGTCATTGATAACCATTGGGGTCTGTAAATCACATTTTTTGGGAAGTAATACGCTCATTTATATATATATATATAAAAAGAATTCTATGTTTAACTTACAAAATAAATATAAAAAAAAAAACTAAACAAAAATAGATAATGTCAATTAATGAAAAGCCATGATCTAGAGAGAGAGAAAGGCGTATCTGAAAATAGATACGCACGATAATGCAAATGGGACACGTGGGGCCATGCAGAACTTGTTTTTCTTTGTTCTTTCTTAGATTTTTATGTTTCTTACATTACATTAACTCCACATCGTTCAAACCCTTCGACTTCCATCATTCGGCGTTTTCTTCCACTTCTTCCCTACGACTTTCTTCCCCCTCTTTGTCGGCACCATACATTCATGCATGCATACACACACATATATATATATGATTATCATACACATGACACATGTGATTGGTTCTGCTGACCAAGTAATTGGATCTTCCCATGCATAGAATAAGGATTCATAGCAGGTTGGTCCCAATTATATATATATATATACTGATATACACGAACACTCTGTACATGTTGCATATTTGTATGTATACGTTTGGACTGAACGATACAGTCCACGTGTTATCTATACACAAGAGTCTTTGATGAACCGAAAAGGGTCGAATACATCAGATATAAGAACAAAAATTCTGACCGGTTTACAGAACAAGAAATCATGGAAAGTTACAGAAAGCACGATGTCGATCGGCTTAAACATTCAATCACACTCTAAGCCGTTTATTTATCGAAAATAAATAAAATTTTGTTAGACAAATAACTTACTGCCTTGTTCTATACGTCGATGTCACATGCACCACAGTTTCCACGTCCTTTTGTTTTATTATAACTGGACACCGATTCATCTATCAGGAACTATTTTTTTTGTCTGTTTTTTAAAATTTATTTATAAAATTCCTTATACGAACATGTAAACATTAAAATTGTTGGACAAAGTTTGTCAAACAATCTCTTAAAATAATCACCGGCTACTTTTCAGATATGCAGATTCGGTGATTATTATTATTTTTTTAATTTCAGCGTATTCCGGGAGTTTTCTTTAATTTTATTTTTTGGTAAATAAATAAGAGAATTTGATGGGAATAAAAAATATTTTTATTTTGGGGTTAGATCAAACAAAGAAAAAAGTTTATTGATAATTCTGGACAAAAGTAGGAAAACATGAAACTTACCGAAAGCGAAGTAGGAAAACGTAAATCTGTCAGTGTGGAACCAAACTCAAGAAATTTCCAAAACAAAAAGCCTTTAGTGGGTCCCAAAATCTCTGTCTTCTTGGGATGTCCGATCCAAAAAAAAAAACACTGAATCTTTGAGTTTAATTTCAATCTCTCTCTCTATATTGTTTCCCATGTTACTGTACAGAGCCCAATCTCACTTTCACGTTTTCTCTGTGTATATATATACCTACCAATGTTCCCTCTCTTATTACACTTTCTGCTCATCTCTCTCTCTCTTTCTGAACAAAACAGACATCTATAATGGCGGAACTCGACTGTCGTTCAAAGACAGGCACTTCTCGCCTAAAGCTCTTCGGTTTCAGCGTAGAAGGAGACATCGATGATGACCTCTCTGAAACAACCGAAGCATCGTCACTCGTCAAGACCCACCATAGATCTTCCGTCGCTTCCCCTGAACCTTGTGGCTTCCCGCCCTCATCCTCCGCGGTCACCGGTGGGCGCGAAGGCGGAGAAAGTGACCGGAAATACGAGTGTCAGTACTGTTGCAGAGAGTTCGCCAACTCGCAAGCCTTAGGGGGTCACCAGAACGCTCACAAGAAAGAGCGTCAGCAGCTGAAACGCTCACAGCTTCAAGCCTCCCGTCACGCCGCCGCCGCCGCAACTTTCACCGTCGGATCTACAGCTTTTTCGTCGCCGTTTATCTCTGCCTTCGCTCCGCCTCAGCACCTCCTCGGCTCCGGCGTCCCGACGCCGGGAGGTCCTTGGGTGTACCTCCCGCGCGTTTCACCGTCGCACATCCACGTGCCGCATGGGTACACGACACAGAGCACCGGCGAATCCGGTGGTGCGGCGGCTGATGGTTTTCCGTACGTCTGCGTCGCAGGTGATTCCGGCGTTGGGTTAGTTGGGCCTCAAATGAGAGGCCCATGGGTCGATGATGATGGGCCCTCGTTGAGTGGGATAACAAGGGGGGACGTGGCACCCGCTTTTGACGATGGCTTGGGCTTGGATTTGCACCTTAGCCTCGCGCCTTCTGGTCATTGACGAATTTACCCCTTGCAATAACACTGCACGGAGGCTGATTGCTTGTACATTTTTGTCAGTTCAATGCTATTATTATTTGTTTTTTTGGGGGGAATTCCTCTATTAACCAATGATTGTTACTCTTAATTAAGTTTATGGAATATTAACTTTAAGATAATGGTTTTCAAATTCCTAAAGTACTTTAAGAGAATAATAACCTCCAACATTTTTAATTTATAATTACATCTGTAATATATTTATCGTCGTTATATCTTGTATGATACAGATTTGGTGCAAACTTATGAAAAGACATATAAAAAGCTTACAAAATATTCTTAGATGCTTAATATATTCTCTTGAGAGTTTGCAAAGCATTGAAGTTAAGAATAATCAAAGAAGCCGTATGACATTAGTGCTAATCTTTTCGGTGCAAAGTTGATTTTAAAGTCTCAACGTGTATAGAGAATCTAATCAATTAAGCTTAATACTCGTGATTAGTGTAATCACTTTGGAAATATTTTAATTTATTTGTTGGACCAAAATGTATAAGGTTTAGTATTACATCAACAAAGCTCGTGAATCTTGGTTAGGTCGTTGATTTTTTAGTATTTTATAGGATATTTGGTATTTAATATATTGAATTAAATCTTCCCAAAAAAAAAAATACTTAAACGTCAATATGATGAAACAATGTTATTTTGTGTGCGTGACAAAGAAGAGAAACCATCATGGTTTAAATAAAACACATAAACATAAGATCTTTAATGCTATATATAAAATACTCTCTCCGTTTCATTTGACGTTTGAGACTAAAACACAAACTAAATTTTTTTTTTGTCTAAAATATTCTTATTTATTGCATCAAAATTTATTATCTCTAAACATGCAGAATATTTAAAATATTATTAATTAGAAGTAAATTTGTAGAGAATATTAAAAATTACATGGAAAACCGAAAAACGTCATTTAATTTGAAACAAAAAATTTATTCCAAAACGTCACCTAAAATAAAATAGAGTAATGTATAAAAAGCATATATTCATGTGATAAAACATACTTTTATCTTTTTTTTTTAAAAAGGTTCATAATTTATATATTGGGTCTATTAATAATAACGGCCTATTAGGGGCGAGAGATGTGAACGGGTAAAGTGTAAATTCCAAAAGGAGTTCCACTAAGTAAGAAATCGATCCATTGGGATCAATAGAAGCATATGAGTAAATGCTACGAAAAGGATATTTTTTTTCTTCACAAAAGACATATCATATGGTATGATATTTTTGAATTTTTTTGTTCTCTTTGCAATATATTTTTTCCTTTCGCTTTATTACATTAAAATGGTCAACGTCTTGACAAATATTATTATAATTAATCTTCCCCATCCATATCTTCCTATATTTATATTTAGGGTTCGACTGGTTGTACCGCAGCGGTTGCGGTTGCGGGTGGTGACGTTTTCAGAGCGTTTGATAGCGAGTATGAACGATTAGTATTGACTGGTTAATAAGTTGTTGTTGGCACCGATTGCGGGTGGGTACGGTTAGAAGTGAATGATTCGTTGCGGTTGCGGTTGCGTTTGATATAAATTATGAAAAAGAATATTATTTTAAAATATTTTTTATAATAGTTTTAATTAATTTTTTAATATCATATGATAAAAAATATTTAT